AAAAGAGCGTTACCGTTATTATAGCTAAAATGGATGGAATTTGTTATCAAATAAAAAGAAACAACAACATCGGTTTTGAAACACTTACTGCAATCAACACGAATCTCACTGACCACATTTTACAAATATAGAAACGTCATAGAACAAACCAGATGACGTCACTATAATTCGTGACGTCATTTTCTCTACCCTATGACGTCACCTAACAACGGGCTTGATAATGGCCCATCGTCAAGCAATATATATAGAATACTAAACGAGCTCCCGTGTAATACCAATTTTATGAAACGAGTGAATAGTTGTGGTATCTGACGAGCGAAAGCGAGTCAGATACCACAACTATTCACGAGTTTCATAAAATTGGTTTTACACGGGAGCGAGTTTAGTATTTTATTTATTACTTGCAATTTATAACGTTTTTTTAATTATACTGTTGAGTATGAATTGGCTGACACCTACATGATCCACGACATAGTCAAATTGAGTTTAACAGAATAATACTTCAAACACGTCAAAAGTTGAAACGTATGAATTTCATACCATGCAACGGGTCTACCTTTAGAATTCACAAAGTTATCGTAGGGCTAAGACTTTCGCATCTCACATACTTTAACTTAGACCAACGACTGTCGTTGCGCTACAATACGATCGCCTTGTGGAACGGGCCTTGCACCTCAAAGTTTTCAATAACGTCACAATACCCGATGACGTAATTTGTGGAATTTTGATGCAAGATCCATCGGCGAAACAATGCCATGTGACGTCAGCCTAGCAACAAGGTTGCTGGGGTCATCGAGTGTGCATAAGCTCCTCTCAGTGATCTATCAACTCCACACGCAATGTCGTTGAATAAGCCAAGAGATGTTGAGAGCTTTCAATATTTGTTCGTGAAACGTGTTCCGAGAGTACATAAGCACGCGTTTTGGTATTACACAATGTGTAATAAAGCTATATGTTTATTAAACGGGTGATCTCTTCACGGGCAAGTAATAAGAGGGCATTATCAAGTTACAGTGGCCCGCTCATTTCTGATAACGTGCGGGCGGTTTAATGATAATTCTATCCATTTTAGCTATAATAGCGGGCACGGGTGGCCCAGTCGTCTAAGGCGCCGCGATTCGCTGTGCAGAGTTGCGTCCCTTGGGCCCGCCAGAAACCTATGATTGCGGGTTCGAATCCCGGTTCGCCCCGATTATGTTTCTAGGTTTATCAGCACCATACTCGTGCTCGTGGGTTTCACCGAAGTGGTAAACGTCTGAGACCTGCATCATTAAGCTGACACGCCACGATGTAACTGGAATACTGTTAAAAGCGGCGTTAAACCCAACTCACTCACTCATCATAATGTTCTCGCTATCAGCTGTGTGACCGTTATGCAACACGGCGAGATGCACGAGCATCCCCTTTTCCCCGTAAGCAGATTACGTAAACTTGAAAAGTAGCACATTTTCTTATCAAATGTGGATACATGTCCAAGGATATCGAGCAGTTGCCACATGTAAGGTACATTCTGAATAATTGTTATCGTTATCAAAAGGTAAGGTGAAATGGGGCTTAACGTCGCGTCCAAGATTATTGCACTTATATAGCAACGTGCATGCACGTGTGTGTTTGTGTGGCTGCTTGTACTAGTCCGGGCTGATGTCGATTTATAGTGCCAGCACACTAAGATGCAATGCCGCCGTTTAACATGAATACCCCACTCAGACACAGTATACCGACTCCGAGCCGACCAGTCCTTGTTTTAGCCCCTTAATGACGAGCGCCAGACAGGGTAACAACAAGTACCATCTTTTAACGTCTTTTGGTATGACGCGGCTGGAAGTCGAACCCCGGACCTTCCGCTCTCCGGGCGGACGCTCTACCATTAGACCACGGAGGCGGTATCATTATCAAAACATTGATTAGACACATAATTACCACGTGTTACTGCAGTACTGATACTTTTTAACTCAATTCCTACAAATAATATTAAAAGGCTTCGTATTGCAGAGGGGCGGTCGGGTAGCCTAGTGGTTAAAGCGTTCGCTCGTCACGCCGAAGACCCGGGTTCGAATCCCGACATGGGTACAATGTGTGAAGCCCATTTCTGGTGTCCCCCGCCGTGATATTGCTGGAATATTGCTAAAAGCGGCGCAAAACCACACTCACTCACTCGTATTGCAGAACATACCTGGTCGGGCATCCGATATCATGCATTAAACTCATGAGTGTTAAGTCGTACAGTAACGTAGATTACTTATTAATTATACTTATATATATAACCATGTCTAGGTAAGGAAGGTATGTATGTGAATACGTTGTACTTCATGATTTATAACCCACATAATATAAATAAAATATTAACCTTTACCCATCAAGTTTACGATGAAATCATGTGCAATATGTATGTGAATACGTTGTTCTTATAATGATTTATAACCCACATAATATAAATAAAATATTAACCTTTACCCATCAAGTTTACGATGAAATCATGTGCAATATGTATGTGAATACGTTGTTCTTATAATGATTTATAACCCACATAATATAAATAAAATATTAACCTTTACCCATCAAGTTTACGATGAAATCATGTGCAATATGTATGTGAATACGTTGTTCTTATAATGATTTATAACCCACATAATATAAATAAAATATTAACCTTTACCAATCAAGTTTACGATGAAAATCATGTGCAATGGCGAACTGAGACAGTATTGGTTTATAAAATCTAAACGTGCAGACATGTGTCAACTTATAAATGTTTGATATCAAGATTATTGATAAAATTACAACGTTAACTTAATCCCCATTGTGTAAGATGAATTATTATATTTGTCTTTAGTTCCATGAAACTGACAAAAAATAAACAAATTGAAATCATAATCGCCGACTTAGCGTTTGTGTGACTTTGCACAATTTCTGATAAAAAAAACACATTTTTTTTATACAAAGAACAATTAGAACGATCCGGAAAATGATAACAACCTTGAACTTAGTTATTGGGTAAATGATAACCTTTGTTATCAAGTAAATGAATGAATGAGTGAGTGAATTAAACGCCACCTTAGCAGTATCCATGTTATATCACAGCGTGTGAGCGTAATGTGTGAGGAAACCCACGAGCACGGGTATGGTGCTGACAAACCTGGACGCGAATCTGCAAGGAGAATTGAGGCGACCGCTGTCGCCACCTGTGCCTACTCCATCATGCAGGTAAATGACAATATACACCTTTTTAAACATGAGTGAGTGAGTGAGTTGGGTTTAACGCCGCTTTTAACATTATTCCAGTTATATCACGGCGTGTCAGCTTAATGTGGGAGGAAAGCCCGAAGTGATGCAGGTCTCAGACGTTTACCACTTCGGTGAAACCCACGAGCACGGCTTTGGTGGTGACAAACCTAGAAACATAATCGGGGTGAACCGGGATTCGAACCACGAAATCATAGGTTTCCGGCGTGTCCAGGGGACGCAACTCTGCACGGCGAATCGCGGCGCCTTAGACGACTGGGCCACCCGTGCCCCCCTTTTAAACATGAACATGATACACATTAGTATAGAGAGAATAGCACACACATTTGTTTCAGTGACCATGATGTGTATTTTGTCTTTAAGAAACCATTGTATACTGACTATCTTCGTCACAGGTTTTAGTACCCATCGGTTGGGCGTTGATTTTGAGGGAGTCGATGAGATCGTCCATCTGTGATTGTCGGGTAATCTTCAATATTTGCTCATCGTGTGTTTTGATGAATATGAGTCCATCGCTGGTCCACGTACCTATTTTACTCTCCGTCTCTAGATTTCGAGCTGTGGCGGCGATCCTTGATCTGTAGATGTATATTTTCCCTTTGACACTCCAGTAACACGTGAGCAATGGATTCAGGTTGATTGCAAGATGGACAAACCTTGTCATAGTGCTTTTTGTGACCGAGTCTGAGGCGTGAGATGGAAATTTCAACTTTCCTTTCATTTGAGTATGAGTTTGGCTTTTGTTGGATCTTGGGTCGAATTTTGAATTGCCATCTGCCGATCTTACTTGCGTCCCACTGGGCTTGCCATCTCTCTCGTAATCTTAACAGGTGTCTCACTTATATGTACTGTTATATGTTTCAATGTAAATAGTTTGGTGAGGGGAGACTCAAATATGACAATCTGTCTATTTGAAATTTGGGTCAATGTCGTGGCAATTAACTCAACAACTTTGTTTGTTCTGAGCCTCTTGTTTACCATGAGATGCTGTTTTCTTTGCCCGACTGATTTGTTGGCTGTGTGCCTCAGTTTGAGTATTAGAAGGTATGGGGTTTGAATTGGGGGCTTGGGTCTTTTTCCCTATACGTTTAGCAGTGGCTTTGCGGATCAGTGCTTATAGATTCGATTGTTTGATCAGTAGAGTGATTAGTAGTCGTTTGGATTTTTTTCAACCGCTTTGAGTTGAATACATTTGGATTCAGATTGCTGAGTACCTTATTCGACGTAATAAGCGCCCAGGGCGCTCTCAAAATTAGAAATAGGGGGCTCTTATTAGAATATTATTTTGAGTTGAAAGATCGTAAATTTCGTGGTTTATATACGACAGAAATATTTTTCCAGGATTTAATTGCCCATAATTAAGGGTGCATATAACATACGAATGCGTATTATACGCAAATAAATAAGTCTTATGTACGTAAACCACTTGGAAGGGGTGCTAATTGAGATTGTTTACTTGCCAATATATTGGCAAATATCGCCGTGGGCGCTTATTAAAGCAGGGCGCTTATTACGTCGAATACGGTAGGCGTTTAATTTCCCGGATGTCAAACATAGTAGCTAGATATAGAGAGAAGTTTAATTTACGGCGTCTTTTGACCACCACGACCATCATACTGTGTGGTCAAAGTCAGGACCAGGAGAAGTTTATCCCGAAATCCAAAGTGTCTCACCTCACCTTCTCCAAGTGTTACCCTATAAAAGTGACTAGGTAGCGCTGACGTCCTATTCCCAAGAACACACCTCGTCATTTTAGAAAGTGGTCAAATGTAAAAAATGTTATATTTGGGATAACAATTTCTTAGTAAAGTACTGATGCTAGTACTATTTTGAGTCCCCATCCGGGACTCGAACCCACACTGCCTCACTCACCTAATCGCCATCACACAGTCAGCGATCTAACCCACTCAGCCACCAAGACTTCCACAAAAATGAAAGTCTGAAAACTGGTAGTCTAGATCACGTACTTTGTGTACCCCTCTGACAAGTGTAAATTGGCAAAGCTACGAACACACATTGCCATTTTAGAAAGTGGTCAAATGTAGCAAATGTTATATTTGGGAAAACACTTTCTTTGTAAAGTACAGATTCTAGTACATTTACTATATTGGGTTCAGTCCCATCCGGGATCCGGGAATAGAATCTGTATTTTACTAAGAAAGTGTTATCCAAAATATAACATTGGTTACATCCTATTCCCAATCATAGGATCTGACAAGGACTGCAGTACTTGTTGGCGACTCTTTGGTAAAGTGTCTATGACGTCACACGGAGAAAGGAGGCACAGTGACGAGATCTCTTTCGGGAACCAAGGTGGCTGACGTTCCCGATCTCTTCTGTGACATTGAGAGGTTTAAGGTAGGAGACGTCCTCATATCATATTTTATTAACAGTTAATGGAAGTAACATTTTGCACATAGTGAGGACTGTTTCACGCACGTAGTCATAAATAATAAACCCACCACTGTGAAAATTGAAGCAGGTTTTCATTATCATTGTGGTGGGGTTATAAAATCATAAAACATTTCCAAAAGAGACATCTGAAGTGAGCGTTATTTTTACATTGTTTTCAGTTCGTCATTGTCCTCGTAGGAATCAATGACCTGGCCTAAATACCAAGGCCACCGGACAAGTCTTGGTTGACTTCGTCAAACCGCCCGGCATATTATGCCAAGTAATATTAAGCATCATATCATCTCCTACCATACACAATCCGATATTTGCATGTAAACTAGCGGCTGTTTAGGTGACTTCGCAAAGCACCGTGACACATAGTCCAAAACGTTGTCAGTTAACATCATATTGTAATAGGTTCGTACGATTTGTTTGACTTGACCGCCGAGTCATCGAAAGTACTTATTGGGTGTAAATAACGTCTTAAACATTTATGTTTGTACAGAGCTGTGATAATGCTTTCCGGAATCACCCGAGAGATCGGAACCGATGGCGCCGGGGCCTTCAAACCACGATGCCCTGAACAAGAAAGCCTACGCCCTAAACCTAGAACTAAAACATCTTTCTGCAGCGGATGGACCAACTTACATAGGACATCCTGGCTTCATGTCTTCCGGCACAGTGAGACAGGTCTTCATCGTCCATGATGGGCTACATCTACGACCAGCAGGACAAAACAGCTGGCATCAGACCTGATCTGTGATCTTTCTGTGGTATGTCTTTTAGGATATAAGAATTATTGTTTCATAAATTTGTGTTTTCAAATATTTCAATATTTACTGTATAAATGCACCAGGTCATCTAGCGGCCATAAAAATGTCAAAATGTCCGAGTCCTGTGATGGAATTCGAGCCAGGGACATTCTGATCCGAGGACGGACGCTTTGTCCACATAACCAAAGAGGTTAACCCCACCAAAAGCTGACAAGGCAAGGATGTCTAAATACAGCGATCTGAGACACTGTAAAGTGGTATATAGGTAGATATAACACTAGTCTATAGATGTAAACACATTTGATACATCTGTGAGTGAAATGTTGATCTCGACAGCCCGGCCAAGTCGGGGCAAACACATGTGACAGATTTTCTTGAGAAAATACAATAAAAATACTTGACCTTTACCGACCAGTTTTCTTTAAATGGGATGTACTGTGACATTATAAAGTGGTATATTATATGACATAGGTACAATAATAACTCATTTGATTATACATCTGTGAGGTTTAGGCTGAGTTTGACAGCCCGGGCAAAGTCGGACCGAACACAGACCAAACACTTCTGATGTTGAGAATGTAGAGGGAAAAGGGCTTCACTTTGAGCACCGCTTTTTCTTTAAATACCGCGATCTGAGACACTATAAAGTGGTATTGAGGTACATATAATCCTAGTCTAGAGATGTAAAGTAGTTTTATTATCTTTAGAAGTGCTTTAACAGTTACTTCACTTTATACACTTGTCGTGTCAACCCTTTGACATTCGCCAATATTCACTCCCAGAAAGCATCATGTGTTGGGTTAACATGAATGAGTAAAGGTTTATTAGGGGGCCCAACATATTTATTAATGAAAGAAAAGAGGTCAAAACACTGTCGTTTCCTGACCAGGACATTAGGCTAAGGTCGGTGAGAAACCTTCTCTTCAAAGAAAACACAGTGAAGACACTGACTTTTCTACGAGGACTCTCGGGAGGTAGTCATAATCATCACTTTATTACGTTGTTGGATATACATTTCGGTTTTCATTATGTCAGCCAAAAACCTCGGAGGTATGTTTTATTATTTAGGTATACAAATGGAGCACTGTCACGTCTTGCTTGGAAAGGCCATCACCATTGAAGAGAAGGGACTTTGTGCATAGAATACAGACCACAACTGATGGACGAGAAATAATTGATCAGAAGACACAGAGTAAAGTATTACCCATTGAAAAGAACTTTTGGAGGATTTCAACAGATATTTGTCTTACTTTAGTCAACTTTGTGCATTCTGGATGTGCTACATTGATATGGTCACTGGCATTATGCTCGGCTATGTCGAGAAGGTGACTGGGAAATACATGTCCTCCATTCGCCAAATGATTATTTTGTGTTTCTCCTACAAGATAAATGATGGAAGATAGCTTACAGCATCCTTGGTCGAAATGTCACAACTACCAGCTTTGCATCCAGATGACTATGATCAATTTCAAGAGGGGTGATTTGCTGTGCAGTTAGGAGAAAAGAACCTGGTAGAATCAATGTGGACCAAACACCGGACAAGGCTGTGTCTCAGTGAGAGCTTTTGTAGGCCTGGGAAACAAAGATAGGGCTGGATGATACACCAGCTGTGAGATACTTATCATCATACCTTACTCATGATACGATATGAATGTGCTTTTTCAAAGACGGGATGGCCAAATACCTGCCAAACTGAAGATTTACAGTTGGCAGCGATTCTAAGCACGACCATCTAAGCTGACAAACTAAATCATGTGGCGATTGAATACTGCCAAGCCACTAAGCTAATCAAACTCTATACCAACAAACTCTATACCAACTGAGTTGATAATATTCGATATTCAGTCGAGTGTGTGCCAGTGTCAATTTTGGCACAATGGATGAAGATATTTATGTTTTAACTTATAACTAGTGTTTGTTTGGTGTAACAGTTATAAAGCAAACAATAAAGTTAAGAATCAATATTTCTAACTTAGTGTGTGTGACAGTGATCATTACTTGTATCAGGAAGCAGAAGATTGTAATCCACTGATTCACCAGTGTATCGTCCCACCACTAGAAACCATCTGCATTGAAGTTGCTCAAGACACCTTTTTTTGTTCTTCTTTTATTTTGACATCATTTATTCATGTTAATCGTCCACGATTTTAATCAAGACACCTACCTCCGTTTCAGTCTAACTTGGTTCCTTTGAAAGAGAGAAAAATCACATTTTGAAAATTTCCTAAATAGCAAAAGGCACCACTTCAGCCCTTGGTTAATACATGTACCAGGTTTTGATGAAAAGTCTTTCACAGTTTTCAAGTTTCGCTCCAGAAACGAAATCCACCACCCCTTTTCAGATTACCGTATTCAACCTAATAAGCGCCCAGGGCGCTCTCAAAATTAGAAATAGGGGGCTCTTATTAGAATATTATTTTGGTGGAAAAAACAGAGTTGAAAGATAAATTTCGTGGTTTATGCTGACGGTCTCAACTGTTTATATACGACAGATATATTTTTCCAGAATTTAATTGCCCATAATTAAGGGTGCATATAACACACCAGTGCGTATTAAACACGAATAAATAAGTTTTGTGTACATTGATCAATCGGAAGGGGTGCTGATTGGGATTGTTCACTTGCCAATATATTACCAAATATCTGGCGTGGGCGCTTATTAGAGCGGGCCCCTATTAAGTCGAATACGGTAAGTCCAAATTCCATGGAAATTGAGATGCCAAAAGGAAGGCAAATAGCAAAAGGCACCATTGCAGGATCTGTTTTGTATATCTGCCAATTTTTGTTTTAAAAAAATTGAACAGGTTTCGAGTTGTGCTCTGGAAACGAAATGATTACGGACAGATGGACAAACAGACGGACAGACGAGGCGACAACTCTATGCCTTGCATTATAAAAATGGACAAATAAAACAAAAACAAAAAAACTTGTCAGGATTTTGTCTACTCAATGTCCCTTTTATTACGGTTTTCCAAGGAGACAAAAAAACTTTAATCAACCGCGGTTAATTGTGACCTATGACGAGAAGTCATCCTGAATATCTAACAGATCTGCGAGGGCAATCATCCCACGGACACGGGCAGGGATAGGCAGCTTCTTCACAGCAGATTTAATGTTTCTACCCAACAAAGTCCGACACGAAAATAACACCAAATTAAGCAGAGAATCTGGACAAGAAGCCTTGGACTGAAGCCACTCTAACATGTCAGGATTCTGTTGAAGCGTTCTTGGCAACAGAGCCTTGTCAAACAGATACGGTTTGCGGTATTTCCCATATCCAGCAGAAATAAGAATCTTGGCAGTATCAAAATGTCCTTCCATTATCGCCAACTCGAACGGATCGACCATGTACTCCTTGTCCTCCCGCCGTTTGTAGATCAGACCGGGGATATCGCTGCGTACATTCCATTCCAGGAGAGTCTTCAAAGACAGGATGTCGTTCTTGCTGGTGGATATCAGTAGGCTGGATACCCCCATCACAGCTGAAAAACAGACACAAACTTTACTAGACTATTCCACTATCTAACCGACATATTGCAAACTCTAGCTCTGTGATCATAATTACTTGATAAAGAATCTGATTAGCTATTGGCCGTTTTGAGAAACACCACACTGGTGAAATTGTCCAAAAAAGAGTGAGTATGGTTTTACCATATGAATACGTAAACTTGTAATGTGTGTGAAAAGTCGTACTAAAATACGCTATTTGAAGGGGGCGTGGCCTAAATGCAAATGTCCGATTGGGATTTTAAATTTTCCGGACCCCTGGTTTTACGCCACCTTTAGCAGCAATATCACGGCGGGGGGGGGGCATCAGAAATGGGCTTCACACATTGTACCCACGTCTGAAATGGAATCCGGGCCTTCGGCAAGATGAGCGAACACTTTAACCATTAGGCTACCGTATGCCCATTGTCTAAAAGTCACTTGACAATGTGTGAAGCCCATTTCTGGTGTCCCCCGCCGTGATATTGCTGGAATATTGCTAAAAGCGGCGTAAAACCATACTCACTCACTCACTCACTCACTTAAAGTCACTTCTTAGCAGTAGGTGGATGGCACAAGTAGACACAATTTAAGGATAACAAACTTCTTTACTGTATTTGGTATAGATCGTCATTCTGTTGTCAAGCAAGACTGAATAGCATTGCCAGTCTAATCCTGGTCAGAACAATCTGAGCATGGTACATACTTATAGATGGTTGGTGAAAGAGTAACAGGCACAACAATTGACATTGAGTGAGTGAGTGAGTTTGGTTTTACGCCGCTTTAAGCAATATTCCAGCAATATCACGGCAGGGGACACCAGAAATGGGCTTCACACATTGTACCCATGTCGGGATTCGAACCCGGGTCTTCAGCGTGACGAGCGAGCGCTTTAACCACTAGGCTATCCGACCGCCCCGACATACATGAAAGAGAATGAGTGGGTCCACAATAACATCAGAAGGTACTTTTGTAACTACATGATGGCTGACCGTCCTGTACGGACACTACCGGTATGCTGACGTACTGTTTGATGTGATGTGCTTTCATGTCACTTTTGACCCTGTTCTGACTGTTAGGTACCACACTGGGACCCTGAGATCACACAAATGTCTCTCTGTCTCTCTGTCTCTCTCTCTCTAAATGTAAATTAACTTGCTATGATATGCCCCAATATTTTTAATGATTGATTTTTCAAAAAACATATTGAAACGATAGAATTGATCCGATAGATGAATAACCTATTGCACAATCGGTAGAAAAATGTTGTGAAAACGGTGATGGAATGTTATAATATAACCCTATTCTATACACGGAGGCTAGTTTGGATCTGATAGTGTCACTTTTACGCAAATAGATTAATAACAGGCAAAAACTGTGAGGCAGATAAATTGGAACCACTTCACATTACATCCCCAGTGTCAATCAAATACAGAGAAACTTTGCACAGACTGCTCAAAAGTTAAGGGCAACATACTGCTTTTGAAAATAACAAATATGTATCAGAAATGATTTTCATTGGTCTACTGTAGTGGCACTAGTTGCAAGGTTTGCATGATTGCATCATGTCCCAGAATGCACTCCTTCAGCAACCCATGCTTGCCGTAAAAGGCGACAATGCTTGTCGTAAGAGGTGACTAACAGGATCGGGTGGTCAGGCTCGCTGAATTGGTTGATGCATGTCATCGATCCCAATTGCGTGGATCAATGCTCATGATATCAATCACTGGATTGTCTGGTCCAGACTCGATTATTACAGACCAGTGTCATATAGCTGGAATATTGCTGAGTGCGGCGTTAAACAACAAACAAACAACCAACCAACCAACCAACAACCAACAACCAACCAACCAACAACCAACCACAGAATGCACTCAAACAGTGCTCCAGCCTGTTGGTCTCGCAACCTCAGTGTCTGGTGCCATATCATTGTCAAATCTTATTTAAACAGCATGAGTTGTTTACAGAATCAGTAGTAAAGGCTATTTATATTTCAATAACACCATGACAGACTTACACATCTGCTATGTACTAGGACTGTTACAGTTCACTTGCATATTTGGTGAATTAAACTGTATCCATTCATGAATTGAATTCGTTGCCACTAGAATTGAATATTTATGAACATGCAATCATGTGCATTTACATAAAAATACCCATAAGAACATAGGGTAACGAATAGGAATATTAATTCACAAATACAATAACAAGTCAGCAGTTGATGTAATATTTGTTATGTTCAGTGAAGTAATAACAGCAAAATATTTGACATGGTTTGTTAATTATTAATATATTATACATTTATATACTGCACTTATCCAGGGGCTAGTATCTGCTTAAATGCAACAATGACCAGTGACCACAACACTGTCAAATTAAATAGTATAAGAGTGTTGTTTTTGAAGAAATCTATGCATATTATATATTCGTGATACGTATCGTATTCGCCTCATGGTGTATTCATTGCAGTCCTACTATGTACTCTCACAATGGACCAAGTTCCAAAACTACATGCCGCACTGCTCCAAAAAAAAATCGCAGATTATCTCCCTTCGCATAATATGAATAACATCTAAAATTATATTCAAATAATTGTATGTATAAATAATGTTCTATATTCTGTTTGTTTCAAAAATAACTGAATACCATATATATTGATTATTGTTCAGATTTGTAATTTTCTTATTAAAAAATAAAATCATTTTTCATGAAAAACCGTTTTCACACAAATATTTTGGGATTCCGCTTACTTGCTGCATATGGGTATATGGTTTCAGTCAAAGGAGCCAAAAAGGTGTAAAAGAATCAAATCCCTCGATAACCCTAGTCAACTTAATGTCTATTTAGTGTTTTGTCTGTTCGTTGTTTAACACCACTGTTGTTTATTCTTGCAAAATGACGGCAGTCTGCAAGTAACAGTATCTGGAGCACCTTGTGATTGACACCATGAGCATAGATCTTTACACTTGGATACAATGACATGCAGTCAGCGAGCCAGACCACCCACCCACGGTTACAATATTCAATGCCTCTCTAATTCTTCAAAAAGTGTTATGGTGGACATGGGGAGGACATTTCCACATTTAATGCATTAGTGAGAAAAAAATGTCCGATGCAATTCCATGTGTTGACTTGTACTATATGTTCCGGGTTTTTTACAGCGGAATGATTGACTTGCCTTTGCATGTCTTTTTAATGGGTGCCACCAGTGGGCAGGATACACTCACGTTTTCTCGAACACCTGGTATCATCACTATTTGATAGTATTTCATAAACACATGCTTATAATAGGAATGGAATCATACAGTAGACTTTTAGGAGGGTTTTCTCACGCTTCTATATTCTTATTGCAAGAGGAGGCACGGGTGGCCCAGTCGTCTAAGACACCGCGATTCACTGTGCAGAGTTGCATCCCTTGGGCACGCCAGAAACCTATCATTGTGGGTTCGAATCCCGGTTCACCCTGATTATGTTTTTAGGTTTGTCAGCACCATACCCGTGCTCGTGGGTTTCACTGAAGTGGTAAACGTCTAAGACCTGCATCACTTCGGGCTTTCCTCCCACATTAAGCTGACACGCCGCGATATAACTGGAATAATGTTAAAAGCGGCGCTAAACCAAACTCACTCAGTCTTATTGCAATAAGCAGTGTTTCATTAACCCGGATCTTCACAGGGGTAACTTACATGTAAGATTGGCATCGGCACCATTGGTTAGAAAGAGTCGAAGCAGTGGCTCAGCTCTCAGATTTGCAGCAGTCATCATAGGATTGCAATACTCGCATGTGTTGAGGTTCAGGTCGATTCCAGCTTGTACCATCATCACAACGATCGTCATGACGTCGTCCGGAATGAAAGACACGCCCTGCACATTTTTAACGTGTTCGTACATCATGTTGGTGAGTGCCGTGCGGCCGGCGCCGTCGAGGGAGTTCGTGTCAGCTCCCGCCTCAAGCAGCATCTCTACCACCTTGATGTTCCGCTTCACTGCAGCATTCTGGGAACAAAGGGAAGTTCTTTATATATGAAGGATGTTTGGGATATTTCAAGCCTAGGAATAATTTATTAATAAGGTGGTCATACAATACATCAAGGATGATCTTTAGTATGTTATTTATTTATGCAGGAATGCGGGTCAGAGCTGTGACTGGAGGGATCATTCATTGATGTATGCATGCAATGTTTTCAAAAGGGGCTGAGAATGAAGGGATCATTCGCTGACTTATACATGCATGTGTGGATGTGACATTTTCAAAAGATGTTGGGTTGAAGGGATCGTTCATTGACTTAAATGTATGCCTGCGATGGTTTCAAAAGGGTCGTAGGAATCATTCATTGATTAAACTACAAGAAACTTGACTTATAACAAATATAACAGAGAAAACATGTAGTGAATACGGTGAAAGTTTACAAACCTCAAAAACACACTTCCCTGGACTTCATTAATGCATCAGACATGCACCTCCGCAGTTGAAACAAACACTAGGAGTGTAACCATGACTACACACAGGGTACACACACACTACTTGATGAGTGATAAGGGTTGATAAGCAATGGAGCTTCTATGTATCTGCAAAGCAAAACATGCAATCAATTATCAAACATGCTTTCAAGAATTCATGTAAGTAAGACTCTTGATTCCACAACGGTCTACTTATACATATACATCATACATACAGCAAATGGACGGGATGTTCGTTATATCCATCAGTTCGTTGTAAGCGTGTTCGTCATAAAACACAGTTTACTGTAATAGTTTTCAGAAAGGTTTAGACCTGTGAAGATCCGGGATAGAATAGGTCTTCAGCAACCCATGTAAAAGCATGTAAAAGGCGACTAACGCGATCAGGTGGTCAGGCTCGCTGACTTGGTTGATGCTTATCATCAATCCCAATTGCGATGTCAATCACTGGATTGTTATAAGCCGTGCTGAAACCTTGCATCAAAGATATCTGTGTATTGTTCACTTTCACATAAACAGACACAATACCCCCCCCCCCCAGTTGGGTACCCAGTTAGGGTCGCATAATACAGGTGGTCCAGTTGTCTAAGGCGCCGTGATTCGCTGTGCAGAGTTGCGTCCCTTAGGCACGCCAGACACCTATGAATTGAATCCCTGTTCGCCCCATTTGTTTCTAGGTTTGTCAGCACCATACTCATGCTTGTGGGTTTCACTGGAGTGGTAAACGTCTGAGACCTGCATCACTTCAGGCTTTCCTCCCACATTAAGCTGACACGCCGCAATATAATACGGGTTGGGTACCCAGGTAGGGTCGCATAATACGGGTTGGGTACCCAGGTAGGGTCTCATAATACAGGGTTGGGTACCCAGGTAGGGTCTCATAATACGGGTTGGGTACCCAGGTAGGGTCTCATAATACAGGGTTGGGTACCCAGGTAGGGTCGCATAATACGGGTTGGGTATCCAGGTAGGGTCTCATAATACAGGGTTGGGTACCCAGGTAGGGTCTCATAATACGGGTTGGGTACCCAGGTAGGGTCTCATAATACAGGGTTGGGTACCCAGGTAGGGTCGCATAATACGGGTTGGGTACCCAGGTAGGGTCTCATAATACAGGGTTGGGTACCCAGGGAGGGTCGCATAATACGGGTTGGGTCTCATAATACGGGTTGGGTACCCAGGTAGGGTCGCATAATACGGGTGGCCCAGTTGTCTAAGGCACCGCGATTAGCTGTGCAGAGTTGCGTCCCTTTGGCACGCCTGAAACCTATGAATTCAATCCCGGTTCGCCCCGATTATGTTTCTAGGTTTGTCAGCACCATACCCATGCTCGTTTCACCGAAGTGGTAAAAGTCTGAGACCTGCATCACTTCGGGCTTTCCTCCCACATTAAGCTGACACGCCACAATATAACTGTAATACTGTTAAAAGCGGCATTGAACCAAACTCACTCACTCACTCACTCACTCCAGCCAAGGATAGTTTATTATAAAGATGCCTGCCACAAGTCAAACAACAAAAGAAATATGAAATTCCCAAAAACTACTACTAGGATAGAATAGGTCTTCAGCAACCCATGTAAAAGCATGTAAAAGGTGACTAACGCGATCAGGTGGTCAGGCTCGCTGACTTGGTTGATGCTTATCATCAATCCCAATTGCGATGTCAATCACTGGATTGTTATAAGCCGTGCTGAAACCTTGCATCAAAGATATCTGTAGGGTCTCATAATACAGGGTTGGGTACCCAGGTAGGGTCGCATAATACGGGTTGGGTACCCAGGTAGGGTCTCATAATACAGGTTGGGTACCCAGGTAGGGTCTCATAATATGGGTTGGGTACCCAGGTAGGGTCTCATAATACAGGGTTGGGTACCCAGGTAGGGTCGCATAATACGGGTTGGGTACCCAGGTAGGGTCTCATAATACAGGGTTGGGTACCCAGGGAGGGTCGCATAATACGGGTTGGGTCTCATAATACGGGTTGGGTACCCAGGTAGGGTCGCATAATACGGGTGGCCCAGTTGTCTAAGGCACCGCGATTAGCTGTGCAGAGTTGCGTCCCTTTGGCACGCCTGAAACCTATGAATTCAATCCCGGTTCGCCCCGATTATGTTTCTAGGTTTGTCAGCACCATACCCATGCTCGTTTCACCGAAGTGGTAAAAGTCTGAGACCTGCATCACTTCGGGCTTTCCTCCCACATTAAGCTGACACGCCACAATATAACTGTAATACTGTTAAAAGCGGCATTGAACCAAACTCACTCACTACTTAGCTTAAAAGTTTGCAGAACTGTGTGCAGAATTACCAAAATCTAGTTGCAGAGTTTACAAAAATTAACTGCAGAATTTGGATGTTTTGGATGCAAATACAGCAGGGACCAATAAACAAATGCATGCATACAAGCACACACTTGAAGGGTCATCACGGTCACTGACCTCATACTAAGGTCACTGACCTTACACTAACCACACTATCTAGTTGTCATAGAAGCATGAACTCTCTGTTTAGGCCTAAAGAAATAATGTGGTTCCGATTACATTGTATTTCAGAACAGCGTAGGTTGGAATAACAAAGTAGAATTTCATTAAAAAACTTGGACTTATTGCAGTAATATGTTTGTTTTGTCATGAACAGTGAGCAACACACAAAATATAATGGTTGTCATCCTAAACATGTTAAGTAAGAGAGGATAGGAAACTCCAAACCACAATTTTCTTTTTTTTTAAATTATTGACTTGCTACATTCCAAGACCACAAATACAGCGTGTTTCCTATTTCAAGCCATCCAAAAATAAGACAGCTAGTAAAGGGGTAAAATTTTGGGGTTTATTTAAACCAAATTTGCAGTATGTCAGTAACACTTGCTTTCAAATGAAGATGGGACAGTGGGATAGCCTAGTGGTTAAAGTGTTCGCTCGTCACGCCAAACACCTGGGTTCAATTCCTCACATTGGTACAATGGCCCATTTCTGGTGTCCTCCGTCGTGATATTGCGGGAATATTGCTAATAGCCGCGTAAAACAATACCAGGATGGTAAAGAAAACTATTTTACAACACCTAAAAACAAGAAAATAATTCTAGTTTGAGGGGCTCTCAAATAGCACCAGTTGGGAAACAGGAACACACATATCATTTTTGTTACCCAAAATGGCACCATTTCTCATAGCACTTACAGTAGTAAATTTCAGATTTTAGTTCCTGTTACAACTACCGCTAAACAAAGATCTGAGGACATCCCATCACGGGTCACGTCAGAACAACCTTTTGCTAACTTTGATTGACCAATGAAATGTCTTTATAGAAGTTGACACTAGCCATTCAGAAAGCAGCTTTCTCGAGCTATATGGTACTAGTTTCAAACTAGTGACTCCCATTCCACTATATGCTCAGAAATTTTTTTTGACAAAGTTCCCAATTCAGAATTTGATGAAGAGAATGAAAGAACATTCTAGAATGTCGAACAGATGGCTGAGATTGTATGGCAGTACTTCCAAGGGGCTAAACAAAGTATCTACCATTCAAATGTTTATCCCATTGAAGCAAGAGATAGACAAAATATTTGACGGAATCAGTCGTACAGCCAGTAACTTATTTGGAATACACCAAGTAACCTGTTTGAGGTTTCATGATAAGAAAACACAATCTGACTGTCACTTTCCTGATCATGTTAGCGACGCTCCTAACTGATTGGATGAAAGGTCGTTATGACATGCTCTGTGATGGCCTCAGATCGTTTTTTAGCGATGGCAATAACTAAGATCTAATTTTAATGAGATTGCACTTTGAGTAGTACTTCCTTAACGTATTGATAACCATTGTATTCGCAATCAAGAAAACCACTTATGTTTACATATGCAGGTGTTGTCATGGTTATTGAGTATTTAATACTCATAAACAAAAAATGAATAAGGGCAGGTCATTCATTAGAAGGGGAGGGAGTTGCAGAGGTTTTGATCCAATCATGTAGTTAAAACAAGCAAATAGTGTTATCACTATCCCCGGCCATGGAAACATTAGAACTTTGTTGGTTCATACAGTAGTGAATAATATGAAGTTAATGTTCAAAAGCATGGAGTAAGGGCCATAAGTCTCTGAAAATACATGTAGTAAGGGGCGTAACTCTGAAAAGAATAATATTTTTAGATATAACAAAACATCAAAAGGCACCAGACAAATGGACGAAAGAATCAACAGACAGCACCATTCCTATATCCCCCTCCAACTTCATGGCAGAGGATACTAATGACTAGGGCTGCAACGAATACACTATGAGACGAATGCGATTTGTATCACGAATATAGAGTAACGAATACGAATATTAATTCACGACTACAATAACAAGTCAGCAGTTGATGTATTATTTGTCATATTCAGTGAAACAAAAGCAAAACAAATTATTTGACATGGTTTGTTAATTATTAACATATTATACATTTATATACTGCACTTATCCAGGTACTAGTATCTGCTCAAATGCAACAATGACCAGTGACCACATTACTGTCAAATTAAATGTTATAAGAGTGTTGTCTTTCAAGAAATCTATGCATATAATATGTTCTTATGGATATTTTTAGATACAGGGTATGTAAATGAACGTGGCTGCATATTCATGAATATTCAATTCTATTGGTCACGAATAACGAAGTCAATTCATGAATGGATACAGTTCGAATCGTAACAGCCCTACTAATGACCCTCCCCTTATGGTTGTCCCAGTTTCGGATGATCCTTCCCATGTCCCCTTGTCTGTGTATGTTTTTCAGCACCCTCCCCAAACAGCTTCCGGAGTCAACTGACTATGAAATTACAGTTTCCACACTGGCCAAACTAGACTGAGATTCGAGAGTTATCTTTAGGCTGGACTAACAAGTGTATGCATTGTCCAATCAAAATTGCATAACATTCAGATTTTGGTCAATTTTGATTTGAAAAGCAACTGTACCATCATCAACTGGGCATTGACAAATACTTTCCAACTATTGTCATGTTTTTAACTAAGGTGTTCAAGTGATTTGATGGATATTGCGATGTAAGACACGTTTAATCACAATATCAATTTTGAATATTGATGAGATCATCTTGACTGGGTCCCGCCATTTTGTTTGAAGCAAATGCAAGTGATATGAGAGGTGGAATCTGATTGATCAATAGGGCATAACTCGTAATAGCCCCTGGTTGCACTATGATCGAGCTAAAACATTCCATGTTGTTTACAAACTGGATGCTGACTTCATTACACGATTATGATTGGACTATGCATAGACTCGTTAGCCCAGTCAAAATATAACAGAAATTTCAGCCTAGCTCAGCAAGGGTGGAAACTGGACTTTTACAGTCAGTTACCTCCCTTGCCTTTGAAGGTGTCCCCGAAAGACAAAATGCAAAAGTACTTTAACAGTTATCATAAAATGCCAATTCTTTTAGGCCCCTCCCCAAATATGTATATTATTTCTTATGATCCTCCCCCCCACCCCCCACCCCACCCCAGAGACTGTCATATTTCTGGCTGACCTTCCCCCGATTCCGTCTTGTCAATCCCTGATATCGTGTATTCCAAACTGTAAGTTCATTGCAGCAACGTCAATTGACGTTTCTGTTCATTTAAGGGGCAGTCGGGTAGCCTAGTGGTTAAAGCGTTCGCTCGTCACGCCGAAGACCCGGGTTCAATTTCCTGACATGGGTACAATGTGTGAAGCTCATTTCTGGTGTCCCCCGCCGTGATGTTGCTGGAATATTGCTAAAAGCGGCATAAAACATACTCACTCACTCACTCTGTTCATTTAATCATATATTAAATCTCATTTCCTTCATTTAGATTTGAAATATACCTTACAAATGTAAAATACTCTTAATTTAGCCCATCAGCCATTTTTAACATGACTCCACATACCTGCAAAGCAGTTCTTTTACATCTCCTGTCTCGTATGTTCAAGTCGGCTCCTGCTTCAATCAAAACATGGACAGTTTCGGAGCAGTCTTCCAAGTCTCGCTCACAGATGGCTCTGCTCAAGGCCGTGTTCCCATCCATCATCTGCCGATCCACATTAGCTCCATACTTCACCAACACCCTGATGCCTTCAACATAACCGATCTCAGCTGCCGAGTGCAAGGCCGACTTCCCATAACTGTCTGAATCGTCCACAATTTCGCGATTCTTCATCAACAACAGTTCTGCTACATCAGCATGCCTGGAAGCAACTGAATACATCAGCGGCGACTGTCCCCACTTGTCTCGCACGGACATCGAGGCCTTGTTGTCTATCAGCAGCTTCACACAATCGTATCTTCCCTTCTCACAGGCTACGTGCATGAGGGACTTCGTGCTGATGTTCTGGTCATCAAAATAAAACTCATCTAAATTTCTACCTTCATCAATTAGCCCCTGGAGTTTCACCAGGTCATTCTCCTCCACAACGTAGTACAGTCGAGAATCGGGCGCTTCAAACATCATCATGAAAGAGTTTCAAAACCAAACATCCTTTTCATTTGTGGTCTGCAAAGTAGAACAAACATTTGAAGTAGGGCTGGGATGGGTAACTTGAGTACCCGGGTTGGGTGGGTCCTGAGTAGGACCTGGGTACCCACAGGACTACCCGGACCCGTGGTTAGTCACATGACATATTGTTTAATGACAAAAACTCACTATAGCTCAGTGGTTATAACTATAAGTCGCTAATGTTCACAATTCTTTCTGACGATGTACACAGTACTTTTGACTTGTAAATGTTTGAGTAACGATAAAGCTTCAGTCAACTTCAGTGAACGCATGATCAGATCGTTGTATACATGTATCTAAATAATTTTGGCCAGGTCTGCAGTAAAACAATTTCCAATCAGACATTTTGTTCCCAACTCTGAGGCCTGCAGTGGGTACCTGGGTAGGGTCGGGTGATAGGGGGTTGGGTATCCAGGTAATAAATTTGGACTCGTCCCAGCCCTAATTTAAAGGATTATTATTTGCATAGGGCCCCATTCCATGAAGCAATCTTAGCGCTAAGGTGATCGTAAATCCAATACTTTCACATAACCTTTCGATAGTCATAGTGCAAAGAATGCCATGCTGAACAGTGGCCTAGTGAGCCATGGTACAACATGTACAAAGCGATCTTAGCATTAAGGTGATCGTAACTCCCATACCTTAACATAGACATACAACGGCACCCTGTCCCACAGAGCGATCTTAGTGCTAAGCCACTGTACATGTGTATGTCTGTGTAGCGGCCATAAAATTTCCGAGTCCCGTGATGGGATTCGAACCACGGACCTTCTGATCCGAGATGGGACGCCTTGTCCACATGACCAAAGAGATTAACCCTGTCAGCAGCTGACAAGGTAAGGATGTCATCTGTGGGACGACTCCACGCCCTGCTACATCTAGGTTAAAGTATTGGAGTTACGATCATCTTAGCAGTAAGAACACCAGGTCTATTTTGTGTAAACATGGTAAAAATTATTACAAACGAAGTTTCAAAAGAGAAATCTTACTCAAGTATTGCAAAAGAAGCAAATAATATAAAACAATGGAAGAAATCATTCACAGGGATTTTAAGCAAAAGTTTGATTTGTTCGAACACTTTTATTTTTTTTATTAGATTGACACAATCGTCAAAACTTATGATTTTCTCACAAAGTGAACCAAGCAAAACACAGGCTTATAAGTTCTATTTATTGTATCATTGGACAATTTTCCAAGGAAGTATAATAATGCAAAATCTTGACAAGCATAAAATGACAGAGAAGCACACCAATGGGTGCTAGGGACGTATTTTACCCCGGGTCACCTATGACAAAATTAAGAATTGGAACTGACATTTGCTGCAGGCATGGGGCCGAATATCAGCCAGTGTGCAGGTCTATATCAATCCCTATATGTACTGTAATAGTAATAGTCAACATGTTATGCAGTTACCATGGTAACACTTCAATATTTCATAATGAATACTTAAAAGATTTGGTCTTTCAATGTGCTTTCTAGAGGTGAACTATATGGTGGGGTTGCGATACGATATGTATCCCGATACTATGGGTGCAATACGATTTGTATCCCGATTGAGGGTAATAATTGATGTGTCAGGCTACAGGAGTAAACATATTACACATAGGGAGCTAACTTTCATTGAGAAATATGGTTTATGGTTAAAAATAACAAAAGCATTTACAATGTTGTGGGTTTCAATTGTAAAAACATATCTGGTGGTCTTCATGTGCAAAGCAACTTCAATATAAAATAAAATTACAACATTGTAGCTATTACTTTAAAAAGATTATTTATGAAAAAATAATTATAACTTAACCATTTAATGTATCAATGTCAACAGTATCATGTATACACCACAGTGATTGTGTCAACTTTATACCCCACATCCTTGAAAACAACAACAAATGTTTCAGGAAGTCACTGTTGTGAAAACATATTACGAGTTTTGTTTTCATAATATGTTTGTTTTCTACTTTTATATCACATGAATATTTAAACTGAAATGTACCATATTTCTATTCCGGATTCTGAATGTAGATCTACCACATGCAAATTATAATTTGTTTTATCTTTTGGGTTAAACTGTAAAACATATTCGCTTTATGACAGTATGTGAACTTGCATCAAAAGGTAGGTATCCTACAAAATCTCTTGACCCGCCGTGTATATTGATATTTTCATGGTCCTGTCTGTCCAGGAACCAAAATAATATTCCAAGACGAACATTATCAAGGGTAAGTAGACCCAAGGCTTCGTCTTCCGTGTATTTGCCATTCTGTGAAACGCTTGACAGCTGGATCTAGCTACTTTTGGATCTACCATAACAGTCATTAAGATTTCAACTAGTCACATTTTGACGCGTTCGATACAACCATGAATATTGCAATAAATTAACCCACAACGCAGTATAAATCCTACGAGGAATACCTGTTGTCAGTCCCTGCATTCCTCACAAATATTCCCTAGCAGACAGCCGAAAATAATGGACCAATCAAGTGCAAGCAAGTGCACTACTTCCGCCTGTATGCGCAGGTGCGCGATGACATTCACACACTTTCTTTACAACTAATTAGATTAGTATTATTTATGAAAATACATTTCGTATGAACTCGTGAATGATATCAAATTGCAGTCTTCTTTAATTGTTAAAAACATATGATTAGTTTGGAATCCTCATTTCATTTAGTTTTCATCACTAAAGTAGATATTCAAACATATTACCTATCAGGCATCGGGAGCTTATAACAAGCAACATATTTATTTGAATGAACACCGAATTTATAAATGATTCAAGTTTGTTTGAAAAGAAGTTTTGCACTCAGATTTGTCTCACCGGAAAGTTTAAATGCAATCGAAGTCTGTTTTTTACTCAATAGATGGCCATTACATTACTTAGTGATTGAAGGAGTTGTTAGGTTACATATATCCGGCAGAAACTGAAATCGAGGCTCCGAACGTGGCGACGGGTTTACGGTATATTGGTGTATATCGGTATTTCTTTCACACAGGTGTCTCCCCACCATAAACGATTAATTTTTCTCATCTTTGTCAGACTTGGGGAGGAAAAGATGAGTTCCTCAGGCGAATTTGGTAATCCCCTTCGGAAATTCAAGCTAGTTTTCCTCGGTGAACAGAGTGGTAAGTCTTGGCATCGCCTGAATCACGTCACTGGTTACAACACGTAAAAAAATCATGATCTTGATAATTTATTTCTACCACACAGTCATATAATATTATTGTTTTAGTAACATCTAAATACCAGGTTAAATGTGGCAAGCAAATAACGTTGGTGAAAGACGATTAATCAGTAGACATTGCTCTATAAAATGGCTAACTTCGTTCAATATTTAGCATGTTTGATCCGCCTGTGAATTAGCAATAAATAGCCCCTCCCTTTTTCGTTTATTTCATGTCGATGCATTGTATGTCTATATAAGTTTTGGATCTGTTTGTATACTATTGATACATATGTATATCAGTGTTTCATTGTTTCATTCCTACTGTAAGATTTGTCAAACTAGGTAGGATATGTTAGACACAGCATAACATATTTTGACAGCTTGTTATTGCCGTGTCACCCCGTTTCTCGCTCAGCATGAATCATTGTCAAAATTTAGGTACACACCTCATATGATCTATATTTGTGCAACCATCACATACAATTACCAATGCCAATCTTAACTCAGACATTTTAATGTACCTGAATATTCATGATCAATGAAAGTTTACCATGACTATTGAATCAGGTCAACCAGTACTCAAGTGTCCAGGAATTTTATGCATTTAGTGGCCTCGATAGCCTGCTGGGTCAGATTAACTTTCGCCTGTATACATGTCAAACATTTAATCTAAGACTGCATGTATGACATATTTCTTTTAAACGAATTGTTGCAAAGCTAGCATTGACCTGATCATGATGATTATTAACTATACTCACACACATTGAAAAAGGTTTTGTAATATTTAACAAAATGGCCTTAAAATCAAATCCAGTTGTCAGCGTATTGAGGCATGAGATAATGTTTGTAGTTGTAATGACTTTTATTATAAACTATTCATTATTCATGTTCATTGTGTCCCTACTACATGTACTAACAAGAGGTTGTTATCAGCCTGTTTGTGTTTATCTCACATGACTTTTTACCTGGTATTATACAATCCGATGTGGCTGATATCAAATCAAGATGACTCGCCATATTGACTAAAATACTGTTCTAACTGACTGAAGCCAACCCACTCATAATGCACATATATATACCAGGTAAGCAGTACGGTAATGTGAATTCCAGCAGTGATTACGCCGGGTAAATTGCAAAGTTTGTAAATATTACACATGATTCACAAATATGTTCAAGTTAAACTGGTTCAAGACAGATTGATTTGTGCATGTAATTTGAAAGGTAACTGGCATTAAGATCTTTATAGGTAGCCTTTAGCTAGAGACAAGTAGAGTTTGATAGCCTTCTTGTTCACAGGTATAGTGGACACCTTCATGCTCAAACACACTGGGTTTATGGTATTGTGTCTCTAATACAGAGAAAGTGTGACTTAGGTTACTGAAAAAAGAAGCACAAGCGCAGATCGATCAAGACATGTTTTGATTTGGGTATCCATGAGACAGTGCAAATAATTTTTAACCTGATTTCCTTTCATCCTAGAGTTTTTTCAACATGTTCAAAGCTGTAATGCAACATAAACAAACTTCATACTTATGAAAGGATTGTTGTGGTCTCATACAATTGAAATAAATTAGGATTTTAACTGAAAATATCATACTTTTTACACACAATGAGCCAGAATGAACTAATGCAGCGTTAGAAATTGGCACTAGTCCTAAAGTCCTTGCCAAACTGCCCAATGTTAAAGGTATCATAAGGACTAGTAGTGATTTGCCCGTTTTAGGGGTTTTGCTATATGTTATCATTATAAGGACTAGTGGACGAAAACTGTTAGTTTCTAACCCTGCTAATGGTTATTTAAATTTTCTCAGTTAGAGTGGTAGAATAGCAAAAGATTTGTGAATTTATATTTTTTATAGTAGAACGTATAACTAATCATGGTGCAGTCATGATATTATCAAAGATCAATCTGTGTCCCTAAAAGCCCATGGGCACCTTTATTGTCCATAATCAAGTTTTTAGATGTAAATTGTTTTTATGTAAATAAATGTATATTTCAAATGTTCACATGGTTCAAGCATTTCTTAATTCTGACACAAATACACTTATCACTAATTCGCAGGCAATGAGACAGTTCAGGAATAATATACCGTATTCGACGTAATAAGCGCTCAGTGCGCTCAGGGCGATCTCAAAATTAGAAATAGGGGGCTCTTATTAGAATATAATTTTGGTGAGATTAAAAACGAGGTTGAAAGATTGTAAATTTTGTGGTTAGCCTGGAATGATATAAAAGAAGAATCTGTGTGTATTATACACAATAGATATATTTTCGAGAATTTAATTGCCCATAATTAAGGGTGCATATAACAAACGAATGCGTATAACACACGAATAAATAAGTCTTGTGTTCATTGATCAATCGGAAGGGGTGCTCATTGGGATTGTTCACTAGCCAATATTTTAGCAAATAACGCCGTTGGCGCTTATTAGAGCGGGGCGCTTATTACGTCGAATACGGTATGTATATTGTTATCAGGTTCTGAACTACTGTTTTTGTAAACAATTATGTTTGATCGATTTTGAAAGTGCTCTGGATGCATGTTGATGAAGTTGTAAAAGATTTCTCAACACTAAATGTGCTTTCATTGTACAAAGTATCAAGGAACTATTTGTGGGACATATTTATTGTGTATCAGTTCAGAATGTTTTATCAATATTCTCCATGACCCATGCTTGGGTCAATATTGCCTATGGCAGTGAATCGTCCTACTGTGTGAGCATGGTGAGGCACATGGACTTGTAGCAATATCTTGGAACACTTTGATTTCAGAATGTTCAACAACTGGCTCCTGTCACAGCCAAATCAGGTTTTGACGACTGTTGACCAGTAGAACAATGCCAATTTAAAATGAGATTTGTGGCCAATTATTCGGACCAGATGGGTATCTGTGGTTGGAGGACTGTTTGATTTTCATTAAGATGGGGAAATGATGTTCAACCTTCTTTTTCATGTGCCTGACTAACGGGATCGGGTGGTCAGGCTCGCTGACTTGGTTGATGCATGTCATCGATCCCAATTGCGTTGATCAATGCTCATGTTGTCAATCACTGGATTGTCTGGTCCAGACTCGAGTATTTACAGACTGCCGTGATATAGCTGGAATATTGCTGAGAGCAGCGTTAAACAACAAACAGACAAAAAATCTTCATGTCTAGTTCTTCACTGTGTTTATTTTTTTATCTTTACAAGTCACTTTTTCCTAATCAACAACAGTAAATATATTTGTCTTCTAATAACTTGTTGGAATGTGTCATGTTAGTATATGTTGATACTGCTATCTAAGCGTGTTCGTTTTAAACATAGTTTACTGTATTGTGCTTTGGATTTTATAACAAAGGATCTTTTTGTGTATATATATACCCCGTATGATACACTGACTCGGGAATACGATAGTTCAGCTCACACTGACGGGGGCGGGTAGCCTAGTGGTTAAAGCGTTCGCACGTCACGCCGAAGACCCGGGTTCGAATCCCCACATGGGTACATTGTGTGAAGCCCATTTCTGGTGTCCCTGCTGTGATATTGCTGGAATATTGCTAAAAGCGGCGTAAAACCATACTCACTCACTGACATGAATCTTGTGAGCCTCATAGCAGCCTGAGCCTAAAACTTTTGAGTCTACTAATTTGAACTTGGCTCTTAGATCTCTTTTCTTGTACATTTTACTGTTACCATATGGTATATTATTAGCATCTTATGGCTGTTTTTGTCATCTGTTGTTTATAAACAGTCCTGAAGTCCCTGTCTCAATGAGGCTACCAATGGTCACATGTGAAACTTGTTGTAATGCACTGTAATATACTTGTCTACTGTATGAGCATGATGAGAGGTGAAATGGGGTTTATCATCACCTCCAAGATTTTTGCACTTATATAACGAAGTGCGTGCGTGCGTGCGTGCCTGTACTAGTCAAGACTGATTCCGATTTATAGTGCTAGCTCACTGAGGTACCATGCTGCAGTTTAACATGAATACCCCACTCAGGCACAGTACATTTCTAATTTTAAGATTGCCTGGGCGCTTATTACATTGAATATGGTAATAAATCTTTAATAAATGTATGTTAAATTCTTTCTGGCTGTGAATTATTTATAGAGAATCAATATGCACAAATTTGTATTAATATTAAACATCTATCGATTCATCGATATCCCATATTCTGATAACATCTCTAATACTCAGCTAAATCTTTGCCACAGCACTGACAGCCCATCAGGGGAGAATTGTGCATGTAATACTCTCACTGTTGGGCTTAATGACAAGCTATAAATAATGTGTGGAATTTCTGAAGCCATTTCTGATTCAATGACCATGGGCATGATGGAGAAATGCGAAAGCCCAAATTTGAATAGCGAAGTTGAGACGGAGTCTGGTTGGCCATCAGGGACGTCAACTGCCTTACAGGGCTGTCCCAGGGGCTGCTTGGTGGGGGCCATTATTGATGACATTTACAGGATGCAACAGTAGCCCGTCCGATGAGGGGCACCAGACAGGCAGCCAATTAGCACGCAGTGACTCTTTATCATGGATTTCCTTCCCTGATGTAGATGTGACATGTCATATATTGTGGAAACGAGCCACTTAAGGAGGAAATTGGAGTTAAGAATTCAGTGAAATATGTGAACCTCAGTGGGTCAATCGTAGGCATTGTAAGAAGAGACTAATAGACTCAGTCATATAATTGATACCATGTCAGCATGACCTGGAGGTGTGGGACATTATGCATTATATCGACCACTCGTTTTTCTTGCACATATTTGAGTTAATGACATGCTGCAGTCTCATTAAAATCAGATCTTAGTTGTAAACAAAGAGGGGCGGTCGGGTAGCGTACTGGTTAAAGGGTTCGCTCGTCGTGCAGAAGACCCGGGTTCGATTCCCGACATGGGTACAATGTGTGAAGCCCATTTTCTGGTGTCCCCAGCCATGATATTGCTGGAATATTGCTAAAAGCGGCGTAAAACCATACTCACTCACTGACTCTAAACAAAGATGTGAGGACATGCCATTAGGGGTCATGTCAGAACGACCCTTCAAACGACCAATCAGAACAGCTCTTACCAGATCATGAAAGTGACACTCCGAATGCCATTTTTAAATACGGGGTATTCCGAACAATAGTTACGGGCTTAACAACTGAATCCGTACAAACTAGACCATCTATTAGCCGTTCCAGAATGGTCTTTTGTTCATGTTTCAAATTTTTCATCGCAAATTTGTCAAATTGTTTCAAAGTGTAGTTGCCAATTTGAAAATTAGTGCCGTAAAGCACGAGAAAGCTGCCTTTTAATTGGCTAATGTCCACATCTTGTCAGTCATTCCATTGGTCTGTCAAAGCTCGCACAAGGTCAGTCTGATGTGACCCGTAATAGGATGTCCTCAGATCTTTGTTTAGCGGTAGCGAGAACTAAGATCTGTTTTTAATGAGATTGTGCCATGCTATGGTACCAATGTAATTTTGCTTACTGTAGTGTGAAATGGAAACAAGGATCACTCAGAATAATGGAATACAATGTAGTAGTGTTGGGTATAGGCTGACTTTCCTATTGGATTCGTTCACAATATTGATTCATGTATTGCACTAGTACCACAATGTGTTCTTTCATCTGTAATTTGTTATGAACCTGAATGAAATACAACCCATAGTTCAGACTTCCTTCACATGTTTTTTACATCATTGCCATCCTCCACACGATATAGATGTCTGGTCACACATGATATATAACAGGATATATAACATGATATATAACTTGATATAAGAAGCTGGCAGCGTTAGAAATTGGCACTAGTCCTGTAGTCCTTACCAAACTGCCCAATGGTAAAGGTTTCCTAAGGACGAGTAGAAATTGGCCCATTTTAAGGGTTTTGCTATATGTTATCATTATAAGGACTAGTGGACCAAAACTGTTAGTTTCTAACCCTGAGCTGCCCGTGAATAGTTTTTACATTCTAGCTACTGGTAAGTCTTGGATACGCAGCTATTGGGTCACACCATGACTGATTCTAGTAGAGAACTGGTGCTACAATAGTGGTTGGCTTATCCCATTGTTTTGACCAGTGCATTGGATGGGGGTGAAACGATACAATAAGTTCATTATAGGATACATATCATGATACATAGGTCGTGAGACTGCCTCCGTGGTCTTGTGGTAGAGCATCCGCCCAGAGAGCGAAAGGTCCGGGGTTCGACCCCCGACCGCGTCATACCAAAAGGCGTTAATAGATGGGAGTTGTTGTTACCCTGTCTGGCGCTCAGCATTAAGGGGCTAAAACAAGGACTGGTTGGCTCAGAGTTAGTATACTGTGTCTGAGTGGGGTATTCATTTTAAACTGCGGCATGGTATCTCAGTGAGCTAGCACTATAAATCGGCATCAGTCCAGACTAGTACAAGCAGCCACACAAACACACACACGTACATGCACGTCGCTATATAACTGCAATAATCTTGGACGTGACGTTAAACCCAATTTGACCTCATTTCACCTCACATAGGTCGTGATATGATACATATCGCGATACACATACAGTGATCCCTCGCTACAACACTACCTTCGGGGTCCAAATAATTGGTGAGCGTTATAGATGATCAGTGGTTTAACGAAGGTCGAGTCGTAGGTGGTAGATGACCAACAAAACAGTATACATGCTCTGCCTACCTAACACGATCTACCTTGCACGTTTCAGGGTTTCAAAAAAGATTAGAATAGAAGTTATTTATGATTCATTCATAGTGTAGAAAAAGATTTATCGAGTATTAATATGTGCTTTAAAAAAAAAAACACATCGTGGTGAATCAGCAGGTATTTCTATAACAAACTTGGTCAATATAAGAATTAAATTTGATATAAAACATCACTAGACATGATGATTTACCATTTAAAATGTATTTCCTGCTCTCTAAGGTATTCTTTTATATGCCGAGATTAAGATTACCGTGTGTATTTTCTCGTAAACTAAGCCGGAAATAGCAATCAGCTGTGCACGCGACTCCTCCCAATCTACCGGTGATTCAGTTAAAACGTACCCAGTTATACCACTTTAAAGAAATTTGATGCAATGGTCGGAAGAAATTGTATCCGATATTATGATTTTATCAGGAATAATATATTCCAATATCGTGTTATTTTAGTTGCAGCTTCCACCATATATACTTAAAATTATAAGAACGACAAGCGTAGCACTTTGGTATAGATTGTATGCAGGATATTTTTGGACGTATGAAACGATTTTGACCAGTCACCGTAGGGACTTCCCGCGCTATATGTATTTCGATAGGGAAAACGTTATGTTGACATTTAATAGTCAAATTGCCTCAAATATGACTTTTAGCGAGTCATGGTACGGCATTTATGACATGTGTATCCATTCTCTTGAAACGAACTTTAGTCAGTAGCGGTAATCTGACCGTGGTTGCTGTTAATAACGGTGAGTAGTGCGATCTACCGATCACTTCGCATACGATTTCGCCGAAATTATTGTAAACATTATTATAGTATCTAATAATTGAATGAAATTTTAAATATAATTAAAATATATATATTGCAACATTAGTCCAGATAAACAATGAACTTTTTTTTTTATTACCAGATATTATAATAATAGGATTCAATTGCGTACTTCGGTTAATGTTTTCTGAGATGGGGGAAAACATCGTGTCTTTGGAAAACTTGAGTTTATTGAAAATGTTAGTAAATTTTGGGAGCCATTCTTTACCACGCGCTATAACCGAGTTAGCGCTGTATTGAAGGGCGCAATAACGAGGGAACACTGTATTTACATGCAATCATGTGGAAACTTCCAACTATAAATATTTCAGAGCAGATTCAAAGGGAAAAGCTAGCTGAAGACATGTTCGTTGGGCTATTTTTTAGTGGTGACTTTGAAACGCTAATTACAACACATTTGTGATATTAGACTGACAAAAAACACCGGGGTCATTAAAAAAGTAGTGGGTATTAGTAAGTGTATTGTCTTGTATTGATACAGAAAAAAGCATACTGTATTCGACGTAATAAGTGCATTGGGCGCTCTCAAAATTAGAAATAGGGGGCTCTGATTCGAATTTATTTTGGTGAAAAAAACAGAGTTAAAAGATAAATTTTGTGGTTTATGCTGACAGCCTGAAATGTTTATGTACGACAGATATATTTTTCCAGAATTTAATTCCACGGTGCGTATTATACGCGAATAAATACAAGTCTTGTGTACATTGATCAATCGGAAGGGGTGCTAATTGGGATTGTTCACTTGCCAATATATTAGCAAATATAGCCTATGGTGCTTATTAGAGCGGGGCGCTTATTACGCCGAATACGGTATCATGTATTGTATTGTCACGTGTAATTGTAAACTCGCGGTCCACCAATGTTTTGTTTCACCCTTAGAATTGGATGACACCATAAGGCATGGTGTATACGTTAAGTATGAGATGAGGTGTTTTCTAGCTAAAACATGTTGTTATTGATATTTTTAACATTTCCTTTATTTTTCAGTGGGAAAGACGTCACTTATCACAAGGTTCATGTATGACAGTTTTGACAACACATATCAGGTAAGAGTTGTGATCGATGAATATGAGGAAATATCACCCACTGAATAAATGTAAATATGTGACACATTGAATTGTGATGTTTGAATCCTTAAGTCACAGCTAAGACACATCTGGTAGAATAATAATGTCATTTGTTGCAATAACAGTTGAGTATTTATGTCGTCTCTTGTGAAGTCATAAGTGGAAGTTATTGTTTGTCTTGAAATGCATACAACAAACCACAACCCAAGTCTTATATCTCAGGAGGGGCGGTGGGGTGGCCTTGTGGTTAAAGCGTACGCTCGTCACACCAAAGACCCAGGTTCGATTCCCTCCTTGGGTACAATGTGTGAAGCCCATTCTGGTGTCCCCTGTCGTGATATTGCTGGAATATTGCTAAAACCATACTCACTCACTTATATCTCAGGAGGGGCAGTGGGGATGACCTAGTGGTTAAAGCGTACGCTCATCACGCCAAAGACCCGGGTTCGCTTCCCGACATGGGTACAATGTGTGAAGCCCATTCTGGTGTCCTCTGTCGTGATAATGCTGGAATATTGCTAAAACCATGCTCATATCTCAGGACCCTTGTACTGTCAAAGCGTAGCAGGGCAATTGTGTTCTGTTGGCCGAAGGCACTGCAGAGTTATTTCTCTTACTGAGCGGTGATTTTGTTAATCTTCGATTTCAACCTTTGGTCAGCGTCATGGTCATGGGGTTCCTGAAGTGGGCAGCATCTGTGACTTGCATCCCTTCAGGCTTTCCTCCTACATCAAGTGGGGGATCGGTAGCCCAGTGGTTAAAGCGTTCGCTTGTCACGCCGAAGACCCGGGTTCGATTCCCGACATGGGTACAATGTGTGCAGCCCATTTCTGGTGTCCCCCGCCGTGATATTGCTGGAATATTGCTAAAAGTGGCGTAAAACCATACTCACTCACTCCTACATCAAGCTGACACATTGTCATGTAGCTGAAATACTGTATTCGAAAGCTTTGAATCCAACTTATCCGCTCCCTGCCTTACTAGCTTTTTAAAGAACTATAATTATCGTAGGTGGTCATCATATTCCAATTGGATTGATGCTCATGATGTCAATCACTGGATTGTCTGGTCCAGACTCGATTATTTACAGACTGCTGTCATATAGCTGGAATATTGCTGAGTGTGGCGTTAAACAATAAACAAATACACAAATATTGTGATTTGATACCTCAGATTGACCGGTCAGAATCAAGTTATTTCCAAATCTATGGTAGAATTTACAATCTGTGTAAAGATATCAAGTGTCTGTGTATGTTTACTTGTTACCCGTGCAGTTTGTGGTTAAACATTCTCGGAAAGTACATGTATGTGAAAGCTTTTGGGGCACTGAGTTTCAAAGTGCGAATCATGCCTGCACAAAGACTCCACTTTCTTACATGGGTACATCACGCCGAAGCCCTGCGTTCAATTGCCCACATTGGTAAAATGTATGAAGCCACGATATTGCTGGAATATTGATGAACGTGGAAAGTCCAGTTGTTCTTGTCATTGCAGGGGCACAGGTGCCCAAGTCGTGTAACACACCACTATTCACTGTGCGTAGTTGCGTCCTTTGGGCACGTCAGAAAACCACGATTGTGTTCCGGGTTCACCCTGATTGTGTTTCAAGGTTGTCCTATTATATAACCTGAGTACTGTTTAAAGTGGCGTTAAACCAAACTCAATCACTCAATCCTATTTTTCGATAAGTTATAGCTTCAATCATGGATTTGGCATATGTAAATAAATTATTGTGCTTATCACTTAGTACAAGGACAACAAACAGTAAGATCCTTTCCTTCAAAACCTGGGTGGTGTGAATCGTCCGTTTGCCTACAGCAAGATTCCAAATGAATGTGCAGAGTTGTATCCCTTAGATGTAACAGGATCTGCTGAGCACAGGTTCAGTTCAGTTATGATTCTTGGTCTGTCAGCTCAAGGGTTAAATATGAAGGGGGAAATATCAATGACTTTAATCACTTCTGGTTTCTGCAGACTGGCATGCCGTGTTAACTTAAATACTGTCCATAGCTGATGAAATATGGTTCACAGTGGACAAATGGCATAACACCAGCGTTAGAAATTGGCACTAGTCCATGCCAAACTGCCCAATAGTTAAGGTCTCCTAAGGACTAGTAGAAATTTGCCTTTTTCAGGTGTTTTGCTATATGTTATCATTATAAGGACTAGTGGGCTAAAACTGTTAGTTTCTATTGCTGATAACACCCCATTCCCTGAAAGAAAGTGGCAATATTTGTATAGTAAATATAGCAGCCTGTTAGAGACTAACCAATTGATCCGAAACCCTTCTTCAAAAACCTCAGGCATTGCTTGAAAATGACTTGTCTTCATCACCGCTCATCTTTCCATTGATTGATTTTCCTGTGTTGGATCGTAGCCCTGCGCACTGGTTGGGCGTATCGGCATTGACCCAAGGTGCCATTTTGAAACTGCACTGCTAGTGTTATTGAGCAATTGGTCTACAAACTACGTCTGTAACAGTAACACTTGTGTCACGCCTTACGCTATTTGAAATAGACACGTGTCAAAGGCCTCTGGAAAGACTATTTTGGGCTTGCATTAGATAAAGTGTTTTTTGAACATAATGATTTCGGGAAGTTTCATTTTCGTGCAAAAAGAGCAAGTTGGTCGATATTTTTTTGTCAGCTTGAAAAATGTGTTTGGCTTCGAGCATCCTGTGCACTTCAGTCTGGGTAAGGTTTTATAGATTTGTTTTATTAGATCTGGCGTAGCTATTGATGAATTCTTTTGAAAGTGTCAGTGAGGAATAGCTTATGTAAAAAATGATGGAATTAAAAGTTTTAGTATATCTTTAACATACACTGGGATACTTTGCTGGGATGGAAGTCAGGTAATCAACAAAGGCCCATCTGAATAATTCATTGTAAGGGATCAGATCGAAGCATTAAAACTTGCCTGAGCCACTCTGCCCTCAGACATTCTGTTGGAAAATCTCTGCCATTGGATTTCAACCTGTTTGCCCTGATCCTGATTCCGTATCACAAGATGGATGCACCTTCGAGGAGGAATAGGGTTTGGAAGTTGGGAAGGGGGTGGGGGATGAAATTAACTGCTATACTATTTGAATCTGGGACCCCTAAAGTTTCATCTTTTGATATTTTAGCATTAGCGTTACAGGGTTTCAGATGAGTTCACTTTCAAGGACATTGACTGATTGTCATCCAACGTGTCCAAAAGATATGGTTTCTATTTTGGGTAATGATACAGGATATTATCCAGTCAAAAGTACATGAAATCACGACCGTGTAGGAGTGACATACGCATGAGGAGTCTCAGGGCTTATGATCCGGGGTAGAATAGGACTTCAGCAACCCATGCTTGCCGTAAAAGGCGACTATGCTTGTCGTAAAAGGCGACGAACGGGATCGGATGGTCAGGCTTGCTGACTTGGTTGATACATGTCATCGATCCCAATTGCGTGGATCAATGCTCGTGATATTAATCACTGGATTGTCTGGTCCAGACTCAATAATTTACAGACCGCCGTTATATAGCTGGAATATTGCTGAGTGTGGCGTTAAAGACAACAACAACAACAACAACAAAATATTGTGGACATTTGAGATATAACAAAAACAGTTGCTTTCTGTTATTGATAATGACTAGTCAGTTTCGGTAAATCTAAACTTTATTTCATCACAATAGTTTATGTGAGTTATTATCGATGACAACTGTTTCATATCAATAATCGTTAATATTTCTTCCCATCAGCGATAATTCTGATTATTGATCTTTTTAGCCACCCCTAGCCCTTAACATACTTAAACCAATTTCTGTTTCCTTGTGACCGTTTGTGGTGTATTCCAATCAATTATACAAATTTATGCAACTGGCAGTAATCTCATGTGTGTTCCAGAAGAATGACAGTTGAACTTCTCATTATAACTGATCTGGTTTTACCTTTCTCTGTCTGGTGTTGAATAACTGCACAGGTATAATAGGACATCTACCACATCACTCATTCTTATATTACAGCACGGCTAATGACATTTGTGCGTGTGACAGCTGATCTGATTAGACATAGGGTGGACATCAACCTCATGCTCGTCACAGAAATATATACAGTAGAATGCCAGGAGGCACGGGTGGCCCAGTCGTCTAAGGCGATTCGCTGTGCAGAGTTGCGTCTCTTGGGCACGCCAGATACCTATGATTGTGGGTTCGAATCCCGGTTCGCCCCGATTATGTTTCTAGGTTTGTCAGCACCATACCCGTGCTCGTGGGTTTCACCGAAGTGGTAAACGTCTGAGACCTGCATCACTTCGGGCTTTCCTCCCACATTAAGCTGACACGCCGCGATATAACTGGAATATTGTTAAAAGCGGCGTTAAACCCAACTCACTCACTCACTCACTCACTCACTCACTCACTCAGTAGAATGCCATAGGCTGGGTTTCACCCAGCAATCACTGACCACAGAAGGCCTGGGTCATTCTTGTATTTCAGGTGAAAATATAGTGTCAGGTATTTATCACATCTATAAGACTATCAGGAATATCTTGTACTGTTGTTCTGTCCTTGATCTATGAATAGAGTGACGAAAGAGCCTGACAAGATAGATTTTGTGATGAACATTTGTGCACCCCATAATAAAATTGGGGTGAACACATTGTATAATGTTGAAAGGCCCTCTCGTTCGCTTGTTACTCCCAAGACTCAGGTTTGATGCTCCATTTGGGTTCTGTGTAAGTCCCATTTCTGGTGTCTCCTTGTCTCGATATTGCTGTAATAAAAGCTGTGTAAAATCAGATTCACTCACTCACTCACCTTAGGTGATGTTATAGCATGGCCAAAATTCCACAAATACTGGTAACGTTCACAAGGACTTATGTGTGGAAGAGGTCAGCCCATCTATCAGACAATATGCACCACCATCCGTATGTTCTTATTACAACATAAAAATGACAGAAATTGCACAAAACTTTTGTCTGCTAGCCCGAACACAACATTATCTTCAG